TGTTAATTTCCACATCGTTATAGTCAAGGATCAATCATACCCTAATACAAATCTGTTTTAGTTTATAGTCGTTCGCAGAGTAAAAAGGTTGATAAACAAACTCGTGAAAGAAAAATCAAAGCTTCATTCACGTCCAAACAGCAAACTACTCTTTTATTATAAACCGTTCAAGGTTCACCAATAAAAAGAGATCAATTTATTATCCGTTGGAAACCAGACAAGAAATTGTTACTGTTTTCGTTTCGAAGCCCACGATCCTCTTTGTTGCGGTTTTCCGTCGCGATTCTGTAAGCTTTCTCTGGCCAGGTCCCGACAGCGTGCATCTCATTGCCTGGTTGCTTAGAAAAAAACGGTTATACGTAAGTCGGAAACGAAGAAGGTTTACTCGTTCGATTCTCCTTCTCTCTCCGTCCATTTCGTAGGAGCCTACTGTTTGTTTAAGTAAGCCGGCGGCCAAACTTTTTTTCTCTTTCGTTCTCTTGTTTGAAATTGATGATTGCACGGAACCGCTAATACGGCCGCAACGGTTACGCGGGAAGAAACAGAAAAAAGAACGAAACCGTAGTGCGACGGTGGGGGGAAAGAGCGGGAAAAAGCGAACAAGAGAAAAGTAAGGCAGCGTTGCAGCTCGAAGCGTGCGACTAGCCTTCCTACCGCCGAAATAATCGTCGTTCTGTCGTGGTTTTTCCGTCACGGCGATGTTTACGCCACACGTGGGAACTTCGAGCCGCGATGCCATCAAACTTTCCAGCCGTTTTTATCACAAAGATTCCACTCTCGAAAGCGAAGCTTTTTTTCGTGTACACGCCAGCTGTGCCAGCAACGCGATTAATCGCCTGAAACTATGCTCTTTTTACCGATAGCGCTGTCACGTGACGTGTCAGCGTAATTAGGTTAGGTAGTACCGTGTCAATCGTTCAGTGGGTTACAGCTCGGCACACAGATTATACAGGTTATATGTGTGTTTCTTACGGATTATTGTTTAGTGTTAGTGATGGAAAATGTTTTGTGATGGATGATAGAGAAGAACATGACGGAACCGAGTTTCACACGATGCATGGGTTTTGCCGAATCTGAAACACTTCGCAGCTAAGGTATGACGGTCATTCAGGTTAGGTTTGCAGCGGATGGGACTTATATCCTCCGGGGTGTATTTGCACACCATAGGGTGGGTAATTTTAAGTGTTTGCCATGGAGATAAAGAACGAGGGCCTGATGACTTTTGCACCCTCGAGTTCCGCCGCTCTAAAATTGCCCCTTTCTGGCTCTCAGTAGCGCGGTACCGCGTATGTTTGCACGGTTTAGAAGCTAATGCCGAGCCACCATCCCGAGAGAGTTTACATTCCATGCAAATACCACTTCTGACGTCCGTCACTTTCGCCAGTCGATCGCTAATTCGATTCCGCTTTTGACGGAGTAGCTGTCACGGGCAATTAATAAACGCCGCCATAATTTCCCGTTAATTCAACGGGTGTCGTGTTGGTATTCGTAATGTCAATTTGCCAGACGATTTTAACTAAGAAATATGAACGATGCAACGGATCGAGTTCTTGATGTTTTTAGGTTAGGACGTTTTTTGATGTTTCATAAATAAAGGAAATTTTATACAATGTGTAGTAATATAATGTAATAACTAGAATTCTGACAGAAGCATCACGTATTCTGAAACAGGGCACGCGTTTACCTTCCGAGAGAACCTCTACCCCGAGTTTTCCATAAACTCGAGACCCTAAGGCAAGAGAGGAACGGAATAGAGACTGACGCGTGCTCGAAGGGATTCTACTAACTGCTCGATAGGTATATACTCTATCTTTCGGCGAAGTAACGGATTGTCGGCACGGAACGTTCCAAAGCCCGGCTTTATCCGGAGCACGTGTTTCGACAGATGCAGTTAAATCCCGCCTCGAGCGAAAACCACCGAACGAAACTTTACTCGTTACTAAACCATGAAACCTTTGATGGTCATTGAATTGTTCCTCACATTAACAACCAACGTTAACCGTTGATGAGTTCTTCGATTATAACCTCAAATATCTAATTGTCTATGTTTCAATAAACGATGCAATTGACAATTGTATTATCTATTAGTGTGTTTTATTAATATGAGAAAAATAAAGAAACGTAACTGTATTTCTGGATTCGCACTGATATATTGTGCATTGTGCTCGGAAGAAAATTCCTTCGAAGTTACGCAGCCATCGATGTCGTTCGATCGTGCAAATATCTCGATGAACACAGATCGGTCGGACGTTGCAAGATATTCTTACCTTTCCATTATCGCCCACGCCGAAATGCGGCCGGGGAGGAGTAACGTTTCGCAGATCGCGACTAGAAATAATCAGGATCGATCTCTGTTCGAGAGAAGCAACAAAGTGTCGGATCGAAATGCAACGCGTACGCGAGGATCGAAGCGTCTGTTTGAAAATTTCGCGAAGCTTTTAAAACGGTTTCACCTTCGTATTATTGTTATTTCGATCTCGACGATGCGCCGCTTTTATATCCCGCCCGTTTTTTTACCGTAAAATCGTCCGGTTTATTAATCCGATTCAGACGATTGTTTGATACATTTTTTTCTCGTATTTTTCGTTCTCACCGACACGGGGGCGAAACGAGTTTTTATTTTCGAATTTTTTTTTAATTAATTTTGATCGAACCGAACGCCGGGCAATTAAACGGTCCTATTGTTTTCGCAGCTGTTTATATCGTGTGTCTGCGAGGTAAGTGTATTTTTTTAAGTAATTTCGTGACATGAAAAGAAAAAAAATAAAATGAAAAAACGAGAATGAGGGAAATGTATGGAAATATTTTTTTTTCCAAGCACCTCTCTCTCTGTAACACCAATAAACAATTCGACACGTCCACGCGGACAATAGTTTTGCAAGTGTAGTTGCATCGATCGGTATTGTCGGATACTGAAGGGGGAGGGGGAATAATATTTCGAAAAAACAACATTAGGATTTTCGTTGTGATTCATTACGTTTATTTCGTAAGGTTTCGTATTCGCACGACTCATCCTACGTTATATATATATATATATACTCTTTTTTTTTTAATAATATACACGCAGAGATCTATCTACGATACGATTTCGTTTGAAAATCGTTAATTATTCACATGATCCATTTTCAATAAATATATTATATCTCAATTCTCGTTGAACGACCAATCACGTGCAGCCGAATCGCGCGCATCGGTTGCAAGGAATGACGTCACACGAATAAATGCACAAATGACGAGACACGCAACCCTAAGAGCCCCCCCAACCCCCTAAGAAACGATCACATCACTTTTTACAACGAATTTTATCACGTCCCCGTCTCGTTCCGCTAAATAACTAGGAGGAAACTTTCATTATTTTTCGAACGCCGTCGCGAAAACGTTCAATACGATTTATGCGAATTACCGGTGAGATTTTTTTTTACCGCTTGATTCGACTCGAGAAACTTCGCTACAATTCTTAGTTTGTATGAAATATTGTTATGTACATTAAATGATCGTTCATTGGAAACGTTACCACGAGACTTTTCCAATATGGCATCCAAGAGATAAATAAAAGATCGATAAATGTATATTCTGACATGATTAGAAGTATAAAAGAAATCACTGCGTAAAAATGTATAACCGCGTATTTTTACTATTTTTTTTCTTTCGTAGTCAAATAATCTATTCTTATAATATCATCAATACTGATCACGTCCTCGAGTTAAAAGTAGACGATTCCAACAAGGACGCGTATATTTCCCGAAATATTTTTTGTCCCTCTGGCTAATTTGCAACAAGTTTGCAGAGTAGTACCGCGTGCCAGAACCGTGTGTGCATCTTCGTGCAAACACGATCATCGCGAGGAAGGGAATTTCGAATCGGGTAAATTATCGTAGGTCAGGAAAGAGACCTGCCTTTGTTTGCTCAGGTGACGACGATTATCATTGATATTCACAGCTGTTTTCTCGGCACATTTCGTGTCATTCGCGCTTCCGATTCATTAATGAATGACTTTAGACGCGATAAGAGCGGTGATCACATGCTTAAAACTCACAGTATCGACGCGTCGATTATTTCGATCTAAACTTTAGACTTCGAAAGCTTCTTTCGACGCTCTCGATTTTTGCAACACAGTCTCTTCTCTCGTTGTTACATTGTTCGTGGCGTAACGCCCTCTACAGCGAACCCATAGCGAGCAACGAAAACGTCGTGATTCAATTTAAACGGTAATTAAGTGAAAACGAGAAACTTCGTAGGGAAAAAAGTTACAAGAAGTTTCTATGTAAAAAAATGATACCCGTTGAGGCGTTCAATTACGTTCGTTCAATTATCAGGCTGTCCGCTTTTTTCCACGGCCCGAGGAGAGAAACGACGCGAAAGAAATTGTCCCAGCCCGGCGACGACCAGTTCGAGGTTATACGTCAATCCGCGAGCTCCTTCGACCGCACGCAAGAGTACACGTGTACCGAGTTTTTTGCGTCTGAACGGTGGACACGTGTTCGCCGATTGCAATAACGACTTGAATATGTCGAGTGTCTGTTAACTTCGTGCTAGTGTTTGACAACGTTCGTTTTTAACCTTTTTCTCGTTCGTTACTTCGACATCTTGATCGATATAGAATCGGGATAAGACTCGGCAAAGTAGAAAACACGTCAGACTCACTTCGTTCGACTAATCGAAATGGAAATTGGTTAGCTTCATGAACAATTCACGGTAAGCATTCTTTTCGACAGAATCCGCTAATAATTTTCTCCTATTCGTTAACATTCATTGCTGCGCCTACGACGTGCTACCTATACATTCACGAGCTGTTGTTACGCGAACGATTAAATATCTACAGTTTATTTATCGCCATAGCCATCGAACAGTTCCGTGAATCTAATCTTTAAACCATTATTTTCGCGCCATTTTATCATGGATTTCTAGACTTATCTAATTCCACTCTTTGGCGAGATCTTCTGTGCACGGGATCCATTCTTGTTTCACGTAAACCAAGCTCGGGTCGTAGTGATCGGTGTGATGCTCTTCAAGGCCCCGGTGATGAGGCCTTGAATTTCGGTATTCTCAGTATTTATGTAACGTAATAGGTAGATTGCCGCTGGTGTTGACAGTGTTGCAGTCTTGATAATATCTGTGGTACAGAGGTGGAGACGGTGCCGCACTGGTCGACAGTGGAGTAGGTGGGCTGGATCTGGAAGATACGAACATTTTACGATCAATACTCTTCCCATCCAACAAAATCTTCCATAAACAACAATTTACACAATCACTTGGAAAAATAACCTCAATTATGCAAGGTACAAAAATTTTTTTCTTTACTACGTAGAAGAACGTATTAAAGTAAGAATGGAATTTATGAATTAAACACTAGTATATTAATACAATCGTTTATATTACAGTTACAAAAAGGGTTCTTTATACATCAGCTTAGATAACTCGTAGCAACGACTTTCACACGTTCAGTGACCAAAACAGACAACCACAAGATTCCCTGCAATTTCCGTCTTACCTGTAAAGCTGACAGCTCGGCGATTGGGTGTCTTGATAAATGGCCGCCGCGTCAGGGCTGGCCGCCTCCTGGTACCATTGCGAGTGTCCCGCCGTGTTGTTATGATTTCTCGAATTATATTCCGCGTGATCCATTATGTAACCGGCCGTGGGCGTGCAATAAGGCGCGTACATCGTTCCAGGCGGCGAACCGTTGCTCCTGGACACGGTGCCGCCGTGGCCGTACCCGGTGGTCGCCATCATCGCCGCGACGGCAGCCGTGGTTGTGGTCGTGGTGGTGCAGACAGACGACAAATGATCCCTGGACACCACACCAGCACCCATCGACTCTCTGCTCGTCATGATCGAGTGTGAATGAGGGTGAGGATGCTGAAGACCGTGAGGATGATGCGTGTGATGCTGATTATCTCTGGTCATCAAGCCAGCAGTGTTTTCTCGCGTCGTCATCAAAGCGTCGACGCTGAAGCTGGTAGGATCTAGACCCATGGACACATCCTGAATCGTATCTTGATGAACCTGATGAGCTTGGTGTACCTGATGACCCAGAGCTGTCTGTATAACACTTTGTCCAGCTACCGCGACGGCTGCCGTCGTCGTCGCCGTCGTCTTCGCATCTTGTATAGGACTATGAAGGTCGTATTTCGCTTGTACAGCCATACAATGACTTCCTGCATCGTTCACAGGTTCCCTTTTCGGTTTGCACAAAGTTGTCTCCAGAGTGCCTAACTTCTTCGCAGAGGCATCCGACGGCGGTGGAATCACGATATTACTAGGTTTCGTTTCCTCTTGATTACGTTGTTTCTCTGGTACTAAACCTTGCCTCTTCAAAGCTTCTTCTTTCTCTTTCAAGGCGTCCTTTTTCTTGAAGCGTCTGCGACGTCTGAGATAAGATCCATTATCGAACATGTTGTAACTGTCCGGATCAAGGGACCAGTAACTTCCTTTTCCTGGCTTCTTGTCGTCCCGTGGTACCTTCACAAAACACTCGTTCAAGCTGAGATTATGTCTGATGGAATTCTGCCAGCCCTGTTTGTTCTCACGGTAATAAGGGAACCGTTCCATGATGAACTGATAGATACCGTTTAAGGTGATTTTCTTGTCAGGTGCACTTTGTATAGCCATCGCGATCAGAGCTATATAGGAATACGGGGGTTTTACCATATCCTTACCAGGATGGTGAATGTGTTGTTGAGTTATACCTGAGACAGGGTAACCTGCCGCCGTCGCGTAGCCACCGTAGCGGTATTGCTCGTAGTATCCAGGAGCAGCGCCCACTCCTGGGTACGACGGGGTTCCCATTCCCACGGGAACGGCCGTTGCGTGTCTGTAATACGCATTTTGCTCGCCGAACAACGTATGCATTTTTTTAAATTACACTACTACTCTGGACGTGACACTGATTGAAATTTATCTAACGAATCTACGTAACGTGTCCTCAGATCACACTCAGTGAAATGTACCTTCAAATCTTCATAATCCTGTATACTCTCTGATATACCTGTGAACTTAGATTTTCATACAGGTATCACTCACTGATCTCGATCAGTCACTTCCCATGAATCACACTTAGTCACTGCTCGACATCGAATCGAGGATATTAATTTGTAAATTTTCACCAAGGAACAACGTTATAGATCGCGCGATAAATTCGATTGATCGAGCAATATCGTTCGACGGTACAACGCGTTTCACTTAACACTCGACACGGTCGAACAGCAGCAGCATCGTGTGGGCCGTTCGTTCGGTCGGTTCGATAGATCGAGTTATCAATTCCGTCGGCGGGACGGAGACGATGGTTCGTTTACTCGTTAGCCGTTTAAATGGTGTTTTGTTGACGCTCCGGAATATCTCTGTGCTTCTCGGTGGAAGTTAGTAGCTCGCCTCGCGCGAGCAAGACAGGCGCGGCGTGGTGCGAGACGAGGGTGCAGAGAGTAGCATCCAGTGGTCGATGCCAGGCTAACCCGTAAACCCGCGTGCACGCGTATTATGATACACAACAGGCCGGAGTTTACTCAACCCCGAGTAAAAACACACTGGGGCCTCGGCCTCGCGAGCAACCGAAGTGTTTCGGTGTCAGCGAGCACGGCTGCGCCGATCCGTGCGTCGTGGCGCCTCTCTTCGAAAAATCACGGGAACGCGTCACTGCCTAGCCGCCTATTCTTCCTCGAACCGTTCCGATTGGCTGGCGTGGGTCATGTGACTCCGCCTACCGGAGCTGGCCAATAGGAGGTCGCGCGTCGAAGGGAGTAGCGTGGACGCCTCTGCGGCTACGTCGCTGGTGATCGAGCGTACGATCTTAACTTAGTCACGCCCTCGCGACTCGCGCAGGGCCGACGCAACAAAAGCGAGACAATGAACGTCGCCCTGAAGTGTGGTGTGAGAGCACACGCGAAATTTTTCCGCGCGCGATCTTCCCAGCCGTCGGATACTTTTCCCTGGACTGGATAGGATGGTTCGAGGGTGTATCGTTTGAATTTCTCTTGGAGGATTGAAGAAAATTTGGATTCCTTTTCTTTTGGGCTGTTTCGATGGATGCGGTTGAAGGTTATGGAAGTGTTACAGACGACCACGTGGTGATATCGATCACGATCGATAACGACGCCGTATTTAATGGAGAAATTCACAGTGATTATTCCAACAAGAGAGTGAATGATTTCGTACTAGACGACGGAGTTTTGCAACTAGTGGTAACGATCGTTTATGTTATATTAATTGTTATTGTACGAGAATGAATTTTAAGGAATTAGATGTTACTCTATTAGATTCTTTATTCTCATTATACAGGGTGTTCCAGTAATCGTGGTAGAATCGTGAAGAAGGTCATTCCTTATGAAAAAATAAATCGAAATTGGAAAATAACGTTTTTGCATATGAGACTTCCCTTTCGAGGAAACCGACTTTGAAAATTCTTCAGGTATGCCTGCATTAACTATAATAAAAATTATAACATTCTCCGAAGAATGTGTAATAATTCAGTTCACAGAGAATAAACATTAATAGAATCAATCTCAAAAATTAATTATTCTATTCTCATTTATCCTAATCGAATAGAGAATAAAAGAGACTGATAACACAAAACCTATAGCTGATAATAAAAACGATAAAAAGTAAAGCAAAAACTTAATTTCGACTTATTTCTTCATAATTAATCACTTTTTTAATAGTTGTATCACGATTTTTAGGACGCTCTGTATATTTTCAACATTCAACGTTTCTCTCGGCTCCCCGAAACGACTGCACGAGTTTACTTGAAACTTCAAACTGATAATTTTATCGATTCTGCGATTACAATACGCTGAAATAAAGGGGATCGGCGTAGCAGCCCGGGTATTTCATTGAGGCTCGTCGGCAAAGAAGCGACGACACTCTTCTCCTGGCCGAGAAATACAGATAGGTGTGTAATCCGTGGACGAAGAAACCCGAGAAACCCCGGAGGAAAAGGCTCGAGTGGTAGAGTTATATAGATAAGGGAGAGACATCACGTTCTTATAGACGAGGGATTCAATTTGGCGTCTGTTTTTCCAAGGGTTCGACTCCAGCCTTGCGAAAACACTCGAGAGGACACCTCGGCTTCCATCTTGGCGTTTCCTCTACTCCTCACAAACCCCCCCGAACTTCTATCCAGGTTCTCAAAATATCTTCGATCGCCGCAATGTTCCACTTTTTCGTTTCCAGTTCCGCGGACGCGTTCTCACAGCTCCGCCTGCCATTGATAGATCGAACGTATGATTCATACGTAACCAAAACCATTGTTGGTATAGTTGGTTGAAGCGATATAATCATGTTGCAAATTAAAGTGTCGAGGATGTAACGACGAGTCACTGCAGTTGCTGCAGATCTTAGCCAAGATATGACAAAAAAGGGAAACTTGAATTTCCTCTTCACGCTTATCAAACACAGATGTTAACCCCTTTTTTTATTTAACATCGTATCAAAATTCTAAATAGCTAAGATAATCGTGTGCAACCATAAAAAATCGTAAGGAAAGGTTTAAGTTATTTGTAGGGTATTTTGTTATATTGCTTAGTTTTTGAGAATGGACTTCTAATTTTTTACGGAGACAGAAATGACGCATTCTCCGTAAAATAATAAATTAAAAATTGGTAGGTTTTATGCAGAAGATTGGCAAAAATTTGTGTGGAGCGTCGAGGACATTGAAACAAATACAATTGGACACGATAATTCGAATACTATTAGCATTCTTCGACGAAATGGAGAAGATTTGACTCTTTTAACTTTTGTTATTAATGATAAATATTAACCGATGATAATTTATATTTCTGCTTATTTGAAATATTTCACATCGAAGGAGGTTTTCCATTTTCCACCGTTTATATGTAAATCTAATTGCATGATGCATGATGCTTGACGAAACGAACTTTTAACACGTTTTGCTCGTTCTCTCCCACCTTCGAAGCACACGTCTGCAGACAATGTGGGTTAAGTCAAACGTGCAGCTACAAGGTTAGCAAATTACGGAAGCCTTCGAAACAAGCACAGGAAGGTTATCTTAAGAAAACATTTCATACGATGATTTATCTAATTCCTGATAAAAAATCGTCTGGCATCGGTTCTCGTTGTTTTACGAGTAAATTGAACGAGCAGGTATTGACAGTCGTGAAATTTCACGAATTTTGAGCCGAATCGTTCGATTGTGTTCATTACTCGAATTTTCGATTCGGTAGAAAAGAGAAAAAGAAAATTCGCTATTTAAAAATAAGAAATTTCATTACTCAAACTTTCGATTCGGTAGAAAAGAAAGAAAAAAAATGAAATTCACTATTTAATTTCACTACTCAAACTTTCGATTCGGTAGAAAAGAAAAAACTAGGTTTTAATATTTAAAAATAATTTCTAAGCTATAGTTTGCTGTATCTACTTCAAAAGTCACATACGGAGATCTCGTATCGGAGATCAATGATAAATTTAAACCGATCTTCTTTCGTTTTCCACACACATACGCGCTGAAGCGGACGCAAAGCGCGACGGGAAAAATCGATGACACGGCCACGACGTCTAATTTTCATTTAAATGAAACGACGTTCGCTGTAGGTGTTTCGATTCGGTCTCTTTCTCCCCGTCGCCGCCCCGGGGCTACGCGGAACGCTTTCGAACTTTCGGCCAAAGTTTAATTGTCTTTTGCTTGCGTTCTATCTAAATTCGTCGCTCGCCGCAGCCACCATTTCTCCAGCGGTTAATCCATTTGATAAGACCTCCGAGTGTCGCCGTTTTTCCTCTCGAATATACCGAAGAACAGATATTACCTAACCTCTGTCACAATTTTCTCTTTGAAAAAATTTTGAAAATTAAAATTAAAATTACTAAAAAGATTTGTAGGAAAATGGGCGAAAAATCCCGTCTTGGGAAAATTAACGAAACTGGACAATGGTTTATTATGTATACCGAGTGTAATTATTATAACTGATAAAAATTTTTAAATAATTTCTTGGAAATTATAGGAAAATTAGAAAATTTCTTGGAGACATCGTTCGTTGTGAATGATACGGCAGACAATGATAAATCTACCCAATCAGTGGACGATATGTCAAGTATTAGAGTTATCGAAGCACAGTATTTTTCGTTAATTCGATATTCCTAATATCACACGAACGAGTAGCAGATTAGCAGATTTTTCAAAATAAAGATATCGAATTTAATTGGAGAAGCTTCGAAAAATATTTTTCCAAAGTATCAGATAGCGGGTAGAATTCTAATTCAAGCGAGTTTTATCGAGTGTAACGAGCAAAAAGCACGGGTGGGGAATGGGATCGACGATAAAAACGACAATAATTTCTATCTCGTTTCACGTCAACTCGCCGACAAGCACCTCTCGCGAGGTGTTTAAGAAATTTCGAGGTCTTTCCAAATAAACCACCGCCATGACCTATCCTATGCAATCGGGCCGGCTTGGGTATGGCCGCGCTCTTTTTTGCCTGGCAGAAACAATAAACCGGGGATTTCGTGGCCTCGCCACGGTTGCGTCACTGCTTCGCCAAAAGAAAGTACATTTTCTTTATGACGCATGGTTCTTAGCGAATTGCAGAAAAAAAAGAAAAAAAAAATGCTACGCGGTGCTTCGTTTGTGAAAACTTCTTGCGGCGTCCCTAGGCCGCGTTTTCAATCGAACGAGAATTCAAATTTCCGGTTGAACAGATCAAATTTCGTTTCGATTATTTTTTCCTAATAATGTGTACTTATGTAATAATGCAACAGTTTTCGCGAATTGCAGAATAAAGAGTGCTACGCGATGCTTCGTTTGTGTAAACTTCCCGCGGCGTCCTTAGGCCGCGTTTTCAATCGAACGAGAATTCAAATCTCCGGTTGAACAGATCAAATTTCGTTTTCGATTACTTTTTGGTAAT